GAAAATGGCAACCCACTCCAGTATTCTTGCCTGGAGAATCACAGGGACAGAGGAGCCTGGAGGGCTGTTGTCTATGGGGTCGCACAGAGTTGGACACGACCGAAGCGACTTTGCAGCAGCATCATTTCAATGTGAAAGCCAGATAAACAACGAATCAGTTTTTAGTAAAAGCGTGCCCATACACATAGACTGAAACATCATTTTAATCTGAAACTCAAACTGAACGAGGCACCCCGTACTTGCTGTATCGGCTGCCCCCACCCGGCTGGGCGCACAGACCCAAGGCGAGGCGAGAGCCCCTCTAAGCCACGCCCACCTGGATGCTCCTCCCCCTCCCCAGCCGCTGGCCATGCCCCGTCCTTCCCTCTGGGCTCAGGCCCTCTTTTCCCAGTTCCCAGGCCCAGACATCCCTTTTACCGACCCTTGTCTGCAGGCCAACCCCTTCTTGCTGGGGCTCAAGGCCAGTGAGCTGAGGGTGGAGTGGCTCGGAGCTGAAAGGAAGCTCTGGTGATCTGGGGGAGACCCCTTCTCAGACCAGCCCTGGCCGCTTGTTCCGTGTGGGTGTGTACATGTGTAGGTGTGTGCATGTGGGCGCTTGCAGTTATGTGCACATGTATACAGATGCATGCGTGCAGGATTATGTGTAAAATCGCATCCATGCGGGTGTGTGCACGTGTATACATGGGTGCGTGCAGGTGTGTGCGTGCGTGTGCGTTTCCCACTGCAGTGGTCTCATCAGCAAAGGGTGGGGCAGAATCAGCGACTCACAGTCTGGCCACTCCCGTGGTTTCTGCGACCTGGTTGGGCGGGCACGTGTGTGTCACTCTGCACACTCTTGTGAGTCTCTAACGTCGGTCCTCTGATGAGGCTGTAGGCCCCACGGGTCCGAGTGTCCCCCCAGCTCGGAAGTTGCGGCGTGGCCCCAGGGGACAGAAATAGTGCCACCTCCAACCCGCGGTGAGGAGAGGGTGCTAACCCAGGAAGGCCTCAGCCCAGCTCCTGGTCCGGCAGGGTCGGCAACGCCAGGTGCCCTGGTCCCTGTCCTTGTCCTGTGAGTCACTCTTTTAGCTTGAGCTCCCTTGTTTGCGACCCTCGGATGGGCCCAAGCCTGTTTCTCGGCCCCCGCGACCCTCGGCCGCGGGGCGGGGGTGGGGTGGGGTGCGGGAGGCGGTGGTGGCCGGGCCTCCGCGCACGGGGCGGTAGAACGGGCAGCCGCGCCCTCTGCTGGACGTGGAGAAAACACCAGGCGAGCGGCTGGGTGGGTGCCGGACCCGCGGGGACCAGAGGCCGCGCTGGGCGGATTGTACAGGCCAAAAGGAGGTCTCCCAGGAGCGGTGGTCCGCAGACCCGTTCCCCGCCGGTCGGAGTCAAGGAAGACAAAGCCCCTTCCCACGTGGGCTGGGAATGCAATGGCCCCTCCAGCATCGTTGGGCACCGCGGTGACCAGCTCTGGCCGGCCAGGACTACCTACCTCGGGGTAGGCACGTGTCCCCAGGAAGCAGCAGGGTCCGGAAATTGATCGCTGTGTGGCTTCTAGGCTCAATTCTTTGTACGACCTGAGCTGTTTCCAGATTTTCACTATTATGAATAATTCTACTAAAGGCATCTCATACATGGCTTTCTGTGGGCAAATTGTTTTTACTTTTCTTGAGTAAAACCCTAGGAGTGGAATTCTAGGCCATGAGGTAGGCGGATGTTTAACTTCTTAAGAAATTGCCAAGCGGTTTTCCAAAACAGTTCTACCATTTTATACACTCCCCAAACAGCGTGAGTGCCAGTCATCCCACACTCCAGCCAACACCCGGTTTTGTCTGTATTTTTAGTCTTACTTACAAGGTGTGAAGCAGCACCACCGTGTGGTTTTTAAGTCACAGTACCCTGGTAACTAACGATGGCACATGTCCACCCACCTGCTGGTTTGCCAGAGTCCCTTTTGCAAAATGCATATTCAAGTCTTTGCCCATACTTTCATTTTTTTGCCTGTCATTATTGATATGTAGGAGTTCCTTATACATTAGGTATAAAACAAGTTCTTTGTCGCATCCATAGCCTTCTATCCCCTCTTTTTTGTATTAATTCAGTTTGTTGTGTAATTGTGTGCTTCAGCCATCACAATATACATGTTCAACTAACTGCAATCTATTTTTGACTGGAGTATAATTGCTTTACACTGTTATTTTCTGCTGTACCAGGAAGTCGATCAGCTGTGGTATACATATATCCCTTCCCTCTTAGACCTCCCACCCCCATCCCACTGAACTTGGTGATCGCAGAGCATCAAGCTAAGCTCCATGTGCTATATGGCAGCTTCCCACTAGGTATCTTTTTTGTGCATGGTGGTGTATATATATATCAATCCTAATCTCCCAACTCATCTCACACTCCTCTGCCCCACCCCGTATCCACACTGCAATCTAATTTTTATTTTTTAATTAACCATGTGTGTGTCAGTCGCTCAGTCGTGTCTGACTCTTTGCGATCCCATGGACTGTAGCCCTCCAGGCTCCTCTGTCCATGGAACTCTCCAGGCAAGAATAGTGAAGTGGGTTGCCATTTCCATCTCCAGGGGGGTCTTCCCAACCCAGGGATTGAACTCAGGTCTCCTGTATTGCAGGCAGATGCTTTACTGTCTGAGCTGCTAGGGAAGGCCTTGTGTTAATATGTTCAATTCAAGTTTTAAAAATGTTTAAAATTTATATTGGAGTATAGTTGACTAATAATGTTGTGTTAGTTTCAGGTGTAAAATTTATCTTTGAATTAATATTATACTTTACATATAATGTGATAACCTTACAACTACATGATCTCATTTATCCTTACCTGTCCATTGGGCTATGGGGAGCATGTATAAACTCACATGTCTACTTAGGGTATGAGCTCCGCAGCTTGTCCTCTTGTTTGCTGTAAACAGTGAGTTGTCTTGACACCCAGCTCACTGTTCCCAGCGCCCTCTGTGTGCTTCTTGCAGACACTGTTCTCCTTGTAGAGTTTCACCCTCTGTAGCTTCCTTCAGGACTGCTTGTAAAGAAGGTCTGCTGGCAGTTCATTCCACCACTTTTATCTGAAAGTAACTTTACAGTGAAGGATGTTTTCACTGGTTGTAGAATTCTGGGTTCATGGTTTTCTTTCATTTCCTTTAAAGATGTTTTTCCATTGACATCAAGCTTCAGCTATTTCTGATGAGAAGTTGGGTACCTTTGGTACCACGTTTCCCTATAGCAAATGTCTTTTTCCTCTGGCTGCTTCTGAAATCTTCTCTGTCTATCCTTAGATATTTAATATGATGTGTTGAGGTTATGGGGGGGGTTGTATTTATTCTGTTTGGGGTCTCTGATCTTGGATCTGTGGTTTGTTGGTTTTAATCATATTTGGGGAAATTTTAGCCAACATTTACTTAAATTTTTTTCTGCCTCATTCTCCTTTCCTTTCCTTCTGTGATCCAAGTACATGCACGTTGTTGTTGCTATTCAGTCACTAAGTCATGTCCAACTCTTTGTGACTCCATGAACGGCAGCACTCCAGGTTTCCCTGTTCATCACCATCTCCCGGAGTTTACTCAAACTCGTGTCCATTGAGTCAGTGATGTCATCCAACCATCTCATCCTCTGTTGCCCCCTTCCCCTCCTGCCTTCAATCTTTCCCAGAATCAAGGTCTTTTCCAATGAGTTGGCTCTTCTCATCAGGCAGCCAAAGTATTGCAACTTCAATTTCAGCATCAGTCCTTCCAATGAATATTCAAGGTTGATTTCCTTTAGGATTGACTGGTTTGATCTCCTTGCAGTCCAAGGGACTCTCAAGACTCTTCTCCAACACCACAGCTCAGAACCATCATTTCTTCAGTGCTCAGCCTTCATTATGGTCCAACTCTCTCATCCATACATGACTACTGGAAAAACCATAACTTTGATTATATAGACCTTTGTAAGCAAAGTAATGTCTCTGTTTTTAATAAGCTGTCTAGGTTTGTCCTAGCTTCATGCACTAGACTGCATTATATTATCATTGAGGCTCTGTTTACTTTCATTGTAAACAGTCCCCCCTTCTGTGCTTCAAATCAGATAATTTCTATTGGTGTATCTTCTAGTTCATAGATCCTTGCTTCTGGATTGTTTAGGTAGCTTTTGATCCCATGCAATAGATTTGTGAATACAGGCATTTTGCTTTTCAGGTATAGGATTTCTATTTGCCTCCTTTTAGAGTTTTCATAACTCTCCAAATCTCCCCATCTTGTTGTTGATTACATACATATTTGCCTATAGATTCTGATCACAGTTACTATATAGTTTGTGTCTGTTCACTCCAGTATTTTCGCTGTGTCAACCTATTTCTACTTGCTGTTTCTTCTCCTGATCATAGGTCACATTTACCTGCTGGTTCCCCTGCTGTCTAACTCTCTGGCCAGTTCCTCCAGCTGCCCAGCTGTTGTTTGTCTCTGGGTCCCTGGGGTCCTGTCCCCTGTGTATGCACTTCAGGAGCTAAAATGGACTTGAGAGAAGTTAATAAGGAGATACTGGGGCCTCCCCCTACTGAGAGTCCCTCCTTCCTAGGCTAGTCTCCTTTGGTTTCTAGACACTCTGCAAGCCCCAAATGCTAACCTTGGATCTGGACTCGTCTGGTCCTCCCCTTCCCCATGCACTCCCACCCCAGCATCCCAGAGATGCTGGTCATAAATGTCCTTTTATTTACATGTGGGCCCATGTGTAAATCAGCTCATGCAGTTCAAGGTCTGTGTCCAGCTAGGCTGCTGCCTCCACTTGAGTGCCAAGCCCATATGCCACAGGACCAGGAATGTCCTGAGGGAGAGTCAGACAAACATGCGTTCAAGGGCCATCATCTCCCCTCCACTTTCTGCCTACCCTTGGCCCTTCTCCAGAAACTTCAAGCCATTGTGTACATTTTTAAGTATTGTATCCAGTGCTTAGTCACTTCAGTCGTATCTGACTGTTTGTGACCCCATAGGACTATAGCCCACCAGTCTCCTCTGTCCGTGGAATTTTCTCTGCAAGAATACTGGAGTAGGTTGCCATTTCCTTCTCTGATTGTATCCAGAGTTTATGATTATTACCAACAGGCGGGTCGGTCTCTCCACCAGTATCACAAGTCAAAAGTCAAGAGGCAAAACATTTAAAGACAATTTCAATGCAAAATGTCCATCAGAGCTGCCGCAGCCCTCACCTGCTTGTGGGAACAGACAGAGTCAGCCCCGTTGTGCTGACACAGGAACTCAGACGCCAGCAGCCTCGTCAAGCTGTGGTTTGGAGTCCTTAGGAGCTTTTGCACAGTTCCACCAGCCACAGGCCCCTCTTTCGGGGAGCTGCCATGTTATCCCCCCGCCCCCACCCACTGAAGCTGCCGTCTGGTGTGGTCACTCCTCTGTTTCTCAGAACAGGGATGGACCTGGACTCCTCTGGTCCTCCCCTTCCCCATGCACTCCCAGCCCAGCATCCCAGAGATGCTAGTCATAAACCTCCTGGTGGGCCCACGTGTAAATCAGCTCATGCAGTTTGAGGTCTGCAGCCAAGGCTTGGCAGCCAGCCATTCGTGTAAGTCCAGCCCCATGGGCCCATGCACACTTCACCCTCCAGGTGGATGAGTGATTTTGGAGTAGTAGCCTACACAAGATGGGGCTGTCCAGAGAGCCAGAGGACAGCCTCAGACCAGGGAGAGTGTGCAGTAAGTAACTCAGGAGGTACCTAGATGTTGCTTCTGAGTTCATAACTGGAGAGAGCAGAGAGGGCTCCCTGGAAGAGGTGTTAGAGCAGTTGGGCCTCTTCCAGGGCACACTGGGGCCTGGGGAAGGGGCAGCACAGGTGGTAAGAAGCTCTCTAGGCAGATGGGCCTTTGACTGGCCTTGGAGGAGGCTGGGAAAGGACAGCGCCCGCAGGAGGGGTGCCTGCTTGACGCCCGGAGTGCAGGGGCTGGAGCCGCGTGGGTGGCCATCCTGAGGGTCTCTGCCCACAGCGTGCTCTCGGCTTCCCTCTCACGGTCCCAGACATTTGGCGCCGCAGACTGGGAGGTTTTCCACATTGGGGAGAGGGTCTTCCTCGCCGTGGCGAACAGTCACCGCTACGACGTCGAGATGCGAGTGCAGAACGACTCCTACGTCATCAACTCGGTCATATACGAGCTGAACGTCACCGCGCAGACGTTCGTCCGCTTCCAGGAGATCCGCACCTGCAGGTACGCGGGCGGCGGGCGGGCCGGCGGCCGGGGTGGGGATCCAGGGGCCCCGGTCCTACGGCCTCCGAAGCCGCCCAGACCGCAGCGCGCGCAGCTGAGCATCTATGGGTCCGCGGTGCCCAGCGCCCAGCCCACAGGTGGGAAGCGGCCTCGCTGTCCACGCCCGCAGACCTTCCACGCGGCCAGCTGAGTGACCCGGCTCCTGCTGTAGCCTTGATTCTGCTTTTAAAAGCTGTGGCTTGTGTGCTTGTTTTTAGAATTCAGTGTTTTGTTTTGTTTTTTAATGAAATTTGCATATGTGTACAACCATTTCCGCGGTGACTTTAGAACATTTTCATTACCTTGAAAAGAAACCCCACCCCTCAGCTGTTATTGCCCCGACCCCTGCAGCCCCTGGGACCCACCAGCCTGCTTTCTGTCCCTTTGGGTTTCCCCATCTGGACATTGCATTCAAATGTGTCTGGCTTCTTTTACTTGTCATGTTTTCAAGGTTCATCCATGTTGTACCTTAGTGCTTCATTCTTTTAATGACTGAGTAATATTCCACTGTGTTTATCACACTTTGTTTACCTTTCATCAGCTGATGGATATTTGTCTATTTCCACCATTCGACCAAACGGTGTGGTTCTGAAGGATTAAAAATATGCTTCACATTACTGTCAGCAGACTTGCTGCCCTGATGCTTTGGAGTTCTTGCCAGACCTTGATTTCCTACTGGGTTAAGCCCCAGCAGCTTCTGATGCGAGCCGTGGGGGCAGACGGTGCAGTCAACATTTTGCTACAAAAGCAAGGCCATGGGTCTTGGTTCCAGAACCAGTTACCATTGGCAGAATACTGCACGTGGGACCACACGGCTATGCTAACACCCCCACCCATGCCACACTGCATGAAACCCCTCAGTGAGTGTGGCCACAGTCACCACTTTTTCTTAATGATGAATCACAACTGGCCCTGGCTGGAAGTGGCTGAGACAGGATTCCAGATAACGGAAGAAGGAAGAGTCAGGAGCCCCAGGGCCCCCACTTGCCTTGCCCGCCTGCATGTCCCCAGGTACCTCTGTGGTCGTCTCATGCCCAGGGTTCTGTTGGACCTCTAGGCCAGTGCCCTCAATGCCCCACTGAGATGGATCCCAGGTGAGTATCAACCAAGAGAGTGTGACTGTGTGCTGTCTGTACAGGCCATAACCCTGAGACCTCTGGATGCAGAAGCACTGGCCTGGCCTTGGGCATCTGAGTGACTCCTGCAAGGCTGCAGCCTCAGTTTCCTCACCTGTAAAGTGGGCCTGCAGTAATTATAGTGGTGACTGGGGACCACGGCTGATGCCCAGGTTGGCCTCCTGGGATAGACAGGGCTCCAGGATGTCCTTCTGAGAAGCCCTCTGTCAGATCCCTGAGAACTAAGATGTCTCTGAGCACAGACTCACCCTTACCAAGTTCAGGGGCGTTTGTTGCAAATAGGATGCAGTGGCCTGTTTGCAGTAAGAACCACAACTTTCAAATTTAGAGGGACATCTCTACGTCAGCAGACCCTGCTGGCACCTGAACTGAACTGGAGTCAGGGAAGAAGCATGTGAAGGGTGACCTCACAGCCAGTGTCCTCAAGTTCTCGCCTCCAGGGGGCGCTGCAGACTTTTAGGGAGTGGCCACGAGTTTAGGACTGTTCCTCTATTTCAACCTCTTCCAAGTGAACAACTTTTGCATCCATGTTCAGAGCTTCACTGTTCACCCTTGTAGCCCGAGTGTCCATAAACAGATGAACGTGGTCCATTCTTACAGTAGAACATTGTTCAGCCTCAAAAAAGGACATCCTGACACCTGACACCACGCAGGAACCTTGAGGACGGTATGCTCAGTGACATAAGCCAGACACAGAAGGACAAATATTTTGTGATTCACTTACCCGAAGTCCCTGGAGTTGTCAGATCCATAGGGACAAGAAGTAGATGGTGGGGGCCAGGGGCTGGGGGAGGGGATGGGGAGTGAGTGTTTCCTGGGGACAGAGGTTCAGTTTAGAAGATGGAGAAATTCTGGAGATGGATGTGGTGATGGTAGCATGTCAGTGTGAAGGTACTCAATGCCACTAAGCTTAAATGTCCATTTAAAAATGAATAAAATAGAAAGTTTTGTGTTATATGTATTTTATTACAATTAAATTTTTTAAGCTTAAAAAGTGAACAACTAATTTGCATTTCCCTGGAATAGACCCACTAGTTGTATGACTGAGGAAACTGCTCCTCCTTCTGTGGATTTTGGAGGTGGGACCTAGCCCCCTGAATCCTGAGATTAGGGGGAGAACCAGCCGGATACCAACCCCCAAGTCCCCACGCAGCATCTCCAGGTCCTAATTCTGCTCACTTGCTCCCGCAGTGCTCTGGACTGGGAGTTCTTCTCGGTGGGAGAAGACTATTTCCTGGTGGTTGCAAACTCCTTTGATGGAAATACCTTCTCGGTAAACAGTATTATTTACAGGTAAAGGCGATGCCCCTGCTAGACACCTCAGTTCACCTGGGTGGGCCCACCTTCCCCATGAATGACCACAGGCTCAGAGCGAGTCACAGGTCATGGAGCCCCGTGGGTCAGCTAGCACTGGGTGCACCCGAGTGCGGGCTGAGTCTGGGTCAGGCCCCGGGTCAGCTAGGTGACCGCTAGCCCTGCTGACACTCACAACTTTGGGTTCTGGCTGGAGATGCAGTGAGAGGATACACTGATGTGAGAGTTATTAGTGTGTTATCCTATTAAATGTTTCCATCTAAGGTGGTGGTAGATCTCTCTGTTTTTCACGTGTCCTTCAGTAAAATTTTACACTTCGTCTTAGTGGCACCATGGCGTTCTCACGACCTTCCCTTCCAGGAGTTTTCCAAGTATTGTAAGCACATGTCCATTTTCATCTGTGTATCACAATTAATTGTTGTGTCTGGTCACGCAACCACAGTATCTGATTAGGTTTAATAGTTTTCTAAAGAAATGTCTCATGGGAGTTCTAGAAGTATAACTATGTCTGCAAATAAAAGCACCTTTGCCTCTGTATTTCTAATGTTTTTACTGCTGATCTAACTTTCTCAGTTATCTAGAAATTCCAGGATGATCTTGAATCATCTTGGACAAGGCAGGTTCCCCCTTCCAGGCCTCAGTTTCCCTCTCTACAGGCTAAGGCCCCTCCTGGCCCAGCTCCCCACGATTGGAACCTGGGGAGGTTTTGGGGCTGGGATGCATGGCCCCTCATGCTGTGAGGAGTGGGAGAGGCAGGTGGGACCCTGGTAAGGGTCAGGGAGGGGTGGGGTGGGAGCCCCAGGGAAAGGGAGCAGCCCAGACACTCACTCCTCTCCCTGGGGCCCGTGTCCCAGCCTGGAAGCTGATGGCATCTCTCCCCACAGGTGGCAGGGGTACGAAGGCTTCGTGGCCGTGCACAGCCTCCCAACCTTCGGCTGCAGGGACTGGGAGGCCTTCCGCACGGCAGCCGGCTCCTACCTGGTCTACTCCAGCGCCAAGGAACCGCTGTCCCGGGTGCTGAAGCTGAGGACGGGGTGATGGGCTCAGAGCCCCAGGAGCTAGACCTGCGTGGCCACACCCCAGAACCCCACCAGGAACCCCAAAAACCTCTGGGGAGTGGGATAAGTGGGAGAAGTTGTGGCTTCCAGAGCCACCAACTCGCTTTCTCTGGCCCTTGTCCAGCCACGACATTGTCACCTAGACAACCATGGTGACCAGACAGGTGGCTCTGTGAGCATCCAAGCTGAAGACCAGAGCTGCTCCTGCAAGTCTGCTGTCCTGCAGGGATTTTGCTTTAAAGGAAAAGTTCATACAAAGTTTTACCTCAAAAACAGCAGGGCCTGGTCACCTTCCCACCGTGTCTACCACATAACCAGACACTCAGCTCTGGCTGGGGAGCCCTGATGCAGGGACCGGCTTCGTGCTGCCTCACATGTTTGTACCAGCTATTTATTGTGTTCTGTCTATGCTGAAATATATTTATGATGCTTCTTACAAAAAGTAGTGCTGTGTCTGTGTGTTTATGGTGGGAACTAGACCCCCAGCAAGCGCAGCCCAGGGCCACAGCACTCACTTGGCCACCTCGGCCTGACATACCCTTGCATCCCTGGTCACCAGCACAGCTCTCGTTGTGTTCTGTCTATGCTGAAATATATTTATGATGCTTCTTACAAAAAGTAGTGCTGTGTCTGTGTGTTTATGGTGGGAACTAGACCCCCAACAAGCGCAGCCCAGGGCCACAGCACTCACTTGGCCACCTCGGCCTGACATACCCTTGCATCCCTGGTCACCAGCACAGCTCTCGCTGCAGGAGCATCTTCCTCCAGCCTCAGTTTTCCCACGAATGCGGTGGGGTAGGGTCAGGTCAGGAATCCCAAGCATGTGTGGTGTGGGTCCAGTCTCTCTCTCCCATGGGAGACACCTGGCAGATGGACCCTCATGCCTCTGCATCCAGGCAGGCCTCCCTGGGCTCCACACTGCCTTGTGGGCGTGCCAGGTGGACTTGGAATGCCCCCTTGAGGCCAGCACTTGCCCAGCTCCTCCCGTGTCCAACTCCTGACCTTCCACTGGGCGAGGGCTTCCAGCCTCCTGGAGATGGGTGCCAGGTATGATGTGGCAACAGCCTGGGAACCTGGGGAGGAGGATGGAGGTGCCATCACCACCAGGAAGCCCCCTGGGTGGAAAGGAAATCCTGCATGCCAGGAGATTTTCTGGGAAGACCCTTGGGGTCCAGACCACAGTGTGGTAGCCAAGCCTGTTCCATCACCCAAGCCCACCTGTTCTAGGATGGGTTGTGGGAGCCAAGACCTCAGTGGCAGGAAGGCTCCATGCTTGGTTTAACGCTCTGCTATTTCCATCTCAAATTCTCATTGGTTCTTGCACAGGATCACACAGCCAATGGGAGTCCTGGCTGCCTGTGGTCAGCTGCAGGTGAGAACTGTGCCAGCCTAACCACCCAAGAAGGAATCTGTGTGCATCTGCTCCCCCTCCATCCAGGGAAGGAATCTGTGTGCATCTGCTCCCCCTCCATCCAGGCCAGATTTGGAGTCTCAGGATTGTAACTGGGACCCTCTTCATTTCCCAAAGCAGGGATTTTTCTAGAGACTCCTCCAGGCCAGCAGATCAACCACGTGCCTTGGGGAGGCTGAGGCTGACCTTTGTCAAGGATGTCCCCTGCCTGGGAGAATGCCGGAGTGGAGGGTGAGAAGGGGTGCAGGCCAGGGGCCCTGTGTGAGAGAGAAGTCCTGGGGCTAGGATGCCCCCAGGGTAATTCCCAGGGCAAAGAACCCCCACCCCTTATATACACTCAGTACTAGGAAAAAGGATGTGCCCGCACGCAAGTCAGGCTCTGCTCCTGCAGCCCCCGGCACCTGCTGGACCCACATCCCCTTGCTGTCATTGTCCCTAAGATCTGGCTTGGTCCCTGCCCTGGGCAGCTGGGGGCCTCATGGGCTGGGCAGAAGGGCTATGGGTCTGCTGGTGCAGGGAGGTTGGGCCATGGGTACCAGAGAAAAATGTAGGCTCCCCAGTTAAGCTTGAATTGCAGATAAACAATGAATGCTTTTTTAAAAATTGTGTATCCCTAATATTGCATAGAAAATATAGTAAAGGGGTATTTGGTGTTTATCTGAGGTTCAGATTCAAGCAGGCATCCTGTTTCGATTCTGACGCTCAATCTCCCACCCTCCCTGAGAGGGATGTGGGGTCTGGTGAGGGTTCTGGTTTTAATTGGATCTGAGGCCGGGCCTGAGCAGCTGTGAGAGGGACAAGAGGAGGGTCCGGGGCTGGGAGGCATGCAGCCTCCGGCAGGGTCGGCCGGGGGCTGGGGTCCACGATGTGTCATGTCTCAGCGCTCCTTCTGCAGGTGGGCCCCGGAAGTGCCCCCAGAGCCAGGGCACCCCCACAGGAGAGGGGAGGCCATCTGGGCCAGGAGCACAGCGGGCCTCAGACCCATCTCCATGCCAGGGATGGTTGGCTTTTGTGTGTCTGGTGACATGAACATTAAATCCATGGGCTCTAGGTAAGGGCTCACCCTCCATGGTGTGGGGGCCTCCTTGAGCATGGGGGCTCCCCAGGAGCCCACACTAGACCTGGCACTGCCTGTCGGCTACTTGGGTTTCCACCAGGCCCTCCTCCCTGCAGATCTGGGGCTCAGCAGCCTCTACAATCCCCTGAACCAACCCTGCCAGCATCTTCTCTCTACACACTGTTTCCCTGGAGAGCTCCCAATCTGCCCCTCAAGAACAAAATGCCCAAATGGGCCAAGGTGCCCAAGAGTTAGGACAGCTGTGTTTGCCCCCATTCCCGGGTTTTTCTATAGGGAGAGGGGCCCACTGGGGACTGTCCACACTCCCCAAGCAGCCACCCAAGTGGCTTCTCTCCCCCTGGGGTGATCCAGATGCCCATCTGGTGCCCGGGGAGGAAGGAGGCAGACGACAGACACTGATGCCAGCACACCAGCAACACAGAGGGAGCAATCGCCTCCTGTCCCCGCTCGGGGTTTTGTCCTGGCCAAGCAGTGCCACTGTGGCTCCGACAATATCCTATCTCTGCTCTGGTGGGTGGAAACAGAATGCATCAATCAAGATCTGTTTGAGTTATAAGAGCAGACCACTGGGGGAATGACCGCAGAGAGCATCCCAGTATTATATCTTTTCAAATCAGCTCTCGAGCGTCTGTCCCATTGATAAACATTCCCAAGGCGCGTGTGGCTCCCGGGAGTTAGCACGCTCTGTGATGTGGTTACATCCTTGTCATTTTGACAACCATGTTGCATTCTTTGCGGGAACATCCAGGAATTTGCTGGCCTGATCATCTTTTGTTAATCCACAGAGATTCAACAGCCTTTACTGTGATAAACAACACTTCAAGAACATCTTTGCACAAATTGCTTTTCTTTGTGGTTCCTTCCTCAGGGTCATGATTTCCTGGAGAAATAACCGTCTGTGGCAGTTTTTGCACCTTCTCCTTGCCTTCAGGGCTCCCCTCCCTGAAACCCGATCTAGCAGAAGGGTGACCAGATGTGTGAATCGCACCTCCTCCATCAGCCCCACCAGACTGGACTTTACCTACTTCTCAATCTGTCAGGGCAGAATTGCTGGCAAAGCTGTCTTGTTTTCACCGTGGTCAGCAGGCCTGCCTTGGGGTTGCTGGATGTTTCCTGTAGGCATTAATGTCGTTAATCTCACCACCAACAACACAGCTCCAGCCTCTGCCACACACACACACACACACACACACACACACACACATCCCCACACATGCTGACGCACTCACAAGCTCCTACACAAGTGCATACACATGCACATCCCTTCTGGAAGGGAGCCGTGTCCGGGCAGTTCAGGTTCAGAGCTGAAGCTTGGTGCTGCCCGAGGGCCTGGGCGGCCGTGGCATCTGCTCACACTCAAAGTGTTCACTGTGTGCTAGCTGCCCGGGCCGGAGCCGCACACGTGACCACACAGTCCCGGCCACACTTAAACCCTCCAGTGGCTAGAGAACCGAGTCCCAGGTGACCTCCAGGCGCTGAACAACTGCCCGGCTGCCTCCCTGTCCCGCCCAGCCCATTCCTTCCTCAGGCTGACCGGCCTGTCCTTAGCTTCGTCGCCCCTCAGAGAGACCTCCCAGGCCCGTGACCAGAGCCGGTCCACCTCACCCTACGCAGTGCGCAGAACACTCCCGTCAGTCTCACCTGCCTACCTCAATGAACAGCATCTGCAGAAATCCAGACGCTCATGCTTGTTAACTCACTCATGCCCACTCCTCGTCTGGAACTTCAGAGCAGGTGCTCCAGGGGCTCCCATCCCCACCCCACCCCCAGAGCAGGGCTCCAGGCGTTCACTGCTGAGAAGACCCAGTCCAGCAGGATTGTGAAGAGAGCGGCTTTCCTGTCAGACTGAGAGGAGTGACCAGCCCAGTTCTCTCACTGTTTTAACTTAGCCAGTTACTGAATCCCCTCAATCTGGGTCCCTGGAGGACCCGCCTCCCTCAGGCGATGCCAGGGCGATGTGACGTGGGTGCCCTGTGGCCCCAGCACAGCTCCTGGACCCACGAGTGGACAACAGCAGCCCCTCATCCTTGTCATCTGCCCACCAGTTTTCCTGAACAAAGTTGGACTTAAAATCCCTTTGGAAAGGAAATGCTGAGCCAGTCGCATTTTTGATAGTAGATTTACAGGTTTAAACCACATGCTCCTGAATCAAAGTCATCAGTAGCACATAATACTCAAAGACAGTTTCTCACAGAAAGACGGGCAATATTAGAAGAGCCCTTGAAAGCATCCGCTATGCCAGCCACGTGAGAGCAAACCCAGAGGAAGAAAAAGGGCATCTCAGAGAGTCTGTGGCTCTTTGCATGACTCGAATGTTATTTTTAATTTTGTTAAAGGCCCTTACCTTTGCTTAATTTTATTTTGATTTATTTTATTTGATCTGATTAAAAATATACCAACCTTAAGGGTTCCATTCAGTGAGTTTTGCTAATTGCATACATATGGGGAACCACCCTCAACAAAGCCAGGAGCATTTCCACCCCCTCAGGAGTCTCCTGTGCCCCTTCCGGTCACCCCCTCACACACATACACAACCATGCGATCTGCTTTCTGTCTCTGGAAGTCCTGCCTGCCTCAGGCGTCCCTCCCATGGTACCATGAAGGGCACAGTCTGTGTCCCTCTCTCTGCGTGGTGTTTCTGACACTCATTTGAGCTGTCGCACCTGCAGGCTCTCTGCTTTCATTGCTGCTTTTTGCCATTTGCTTGTGGCTTCAGTCTGTTGTATCAATAGTCCATCACCCTTCCTATTTATCTTCTCTGGGGTTGTTTCTGTTTGGGGCTGCTATAAACATCACTGGATAATTTGTGTGGACAGGTGTTTATTTCCCTTGGTAAACATCTGGGAGCAGGGGCCATTGGGTCCACGATGGCTTCACTTTGTAACAAACCTCCAAGCGGTTCTCCAGCTTGGGGACCTGCTTCCACGTCAATAATTCCCATAATAACAAAGAAGCT